AATAAAAAAAAAAAAAAAAAAATATCATTGATTTGGTTTTGGTTGGTTTGGTTTTGGTTGTTTTGGTTTTTCAGGTTCAAGGTCAGGGGGTTCCTGCTCCTGCAGATTGTCCAGTTGGTTAGTTAGACTCTTGATTTGGGCTCATAGATCTCATGGGTTTGTGTGGTTTGAGGTGCAGCATTGGACTTCGGGCCCCTGACACGGTGGGAGCCACTAGCAGATCTGAGATCTCTCTCTCTCTCTCAATACCTGCCACCTGCCCTGATACATACACGCACTCACACCCCACAAAATAAATAGTAAATACTACAAAAAAAAAAAAAAAAAAAAAAAAGGAAATAACATAAAACAAAGGAAAATAAGGGACCTCAAGTCCACATTAGGCAAGCCTTTATTTTGTATGTAGTATGATTTTACCAAACCAGTTCACCAGGTACACCCTGTTAAACAGCATCTTAGACAGGTGTGTAGTAAGTAGCAAGTTTTGCCCTGACCCCGTAAATATGGGTTTCAAAATTTGAAGAGTCGGTTGTTGAAACAGTATCTCATGTGAAATGAGCAAATCAAAGTAATTATTATTTTATCTAGTTAAATACAGTTCTATGCCTCTGGTATGTTGGCTTTTGATAAATTTTGATTAAAATTACACATATATCTTACCAAGTTTTTGCAGCTTTTGCTCCACACTCTTTTTGTTTCTGATGATTCAAAAACACTCATAAGGTTCATTTAATGTTACTTAAACCAGTCATTAAAAGTTCTTGCACTGATCTGTAGGAAAAAACAAAAGAAATATATCCATTCAGGAAGACTTTAGACCCCTTGTTAGAAATTAGGAAGGCTTTGAAACTTCGCTTCATAGCGTGGGTACAACAAATTTCATTGTGTAAGACAGTAATAAGTTGACCGAGGAGTTAATAGATTTCTCAAAAGTAATTGGTATATTTTCTATGCCGACCTCCTTTCAAGCACACAGTACCCCACAGACACTAGTAGGGACAGCATGCTCACAGGCGCATCACCAGACTCACTCACCACAGGTGGTAGAGCAGGTCGGCCTCAACGAGGATGTTGGTATTCCTTCATGAAATAAAGATTTGGAACTTGAAAAGAAATGAATGTCATATGATAGGCGTATAGATCTGACAGTGAGTGCTTCCCACAAAAGGAATTTATGTGAGTAAATCTAAATAAATAAGTACATAAATAAATCCAGCACTTTTCGTAAATAGAATCTCTGCAACTTAAACTCTCCTCAGTGAAGTTTAGATAAGCCTTCATGTTACTTAATATTTACCTTCATAGCACTTTAAAGATTCCCAGAAAAAAACAGTAATAAGCTCTTCCATTCAACTTCACTATTCAATAACACCATTCAATAACTTAGAGTAGATCTTGCAAAAACTTACTTTTTGGTATTAAATAAATCACTTATTTTCATATTTACTTTTTTAATTCAGAGAGTTCAGAGTCAGGCAACTATTTGATTCTCCAGTAACATCATACTGTGCTGCTTTGCATATACTTTGCTGTTAGCATCCCTAAATACATAAACAAACAACCCATTAAATCTCAAAATGCGTTCAATTTATACACCAAGCGATAGTCTCCATTGTTTTTGTAAAACTCTAGATGAATTATTCTATTGGTGGATTCACCAGCTTTATCTTAGCGATGAAATGTATACTGCAACACAAATTAACATCAAATAATTACTGCCCTCAAAAGCAATTCAACTAAATAAACTTACAAATGTCGTTTTCTGAGGTTTTTAACTTTCATTTTTTTGAATAGTTTTTACTTTTCATTAACTTCAAAGGCCACAGGTCATCAGAAATAATGAAAATAAATCGAACCACAGAAGACAACGGCGGCAGGACGCCCCTCTAGTTTGAAGTAAAGATCTTTCTAAACTGTCAGAAGGAGACAGGGCTTTTAACAGGGACTCCAGTCATTCCGATCTGAGTCTTGGCTTTGATAGAATCCTCCATAGCTCAATAGCCATGACACTAGAAGCATGAAACAGGTGGATTCTCCTGTTAAATACATTTTACATTTTCTATCTTATTTTATTAAAGAGAGGACTCCATGACCACCAAATCATGATATATGTGAAGTCAAAATTAACAAATTTATTTCACTAGATTTTGAACAACTTCATTGCTAGAGAATGAGTTGAGATGATGATGTTGAATTAATTCCTCATTGTTCTGCTACATCACCCCGACTAATTGTTTCAAAAGAATAACATGAAAAACTGAGATTGACATTCTGTCTTTGTTTGTTTTAAAACTAATTTGTCGCTGGGTGGGGGGGGGGGTGTTGGGGGTGAAATGAGGAATGTGCCTGGGTAGCTCCAGATGATTGTCTGACTCTTGATTCGGCTCAGGTCATGATCTCGGTTCATGAGTTGAAGCCCCCAAGTGAGGATACACACTCTGCCTCCCTACTTTGCTCTGTCTCAAACAAATAAATAAACTTTAAATAATAAACTAATTTGAAAATCTACCCCCCCCAACAAGTTTTATCGCATAACAATTGAAATTGCCATCTCCATGGCACTCATTTGAAAAATGTATTAAACATACAGAAAAATTGAGGACGCCTGGATGACTCAGTAGGTTGGCGTCGACTTCGGCTCAGATCCTTGATCTCCACGGTTTTGTGATTGGTCCCGTCAGGCTCTGTGCTGGCTCGAAGACTGGAACTTCCGATTCCATGTCTCCCTCTCTGCCCTCCCCTGCTCATGCTCACAGCTTCTCCTCTCTCTCTCTCAAAAAATAAATAAACATTTAAAAACTGAAAAAGTAATAGCCAACATTTTATTGAGCATTTTGTGTATGTACACAACAGCATTGTGGTAAGCACTTGATGAATTCAGGCTTTAGAATGTTAGCTTAACCCGACTTGCCCAAGATCCATACAAACTAGCTGATGACAGAGCTGGGACCTCTGCAGTCGACTCCAGAGCTCCATACTTTCAGCCACCATATGCTCTACCTAAATAAAAATTGTAACAAATCTCTTCACACAACAGAAAATCTGCACTTTTCCCGATTCCATCTCCTGCTTTCCTCCATCTAGCCATTAATAGTAGAATCACACGAATTCATATTCTCCTTCTTGTGGCCAAGGACACTCAGAGAGGAAGCCACTTTCGCTTCAAACATGACCAACCATCACCAGCTCCACACAAGAGCCTGCAGAAGTAAAGTTAATAAAACAATAAAAAAATATATGTACCTCTAAACAAACATAATGAACTATGCAAAATATTCAAAAATTCAGTTAAGACTTAATATAGGAATTGAATAAAGATTGAACTAAATAATGATCCTAATTTTATTTAAAAAAATTTTTTAATGTTTATTTGTTTTTTGAAGAGACAGAGACCAAGAGAGTGCAAGTGGGGGAGGGGCAGAGACAAAGGAGACACAGGATCTGGAAGGCAGCTCCAGGCTCTGAGCTGTCAGCACACACAAGCCAACTGGGGCTTGAACCCCACAACCATTAGTCATGACCTAGGCGAAGTTGGGCCAACAACGACTGAGCCTGCCATTTTCCCCTAATTTTACTTTGGGTTTTAAGATTTAATTCTGGTTTTATGGACATATGAGTTACTTCAAATTACTTTAGAGTGCAACTGTTTAAATAAAAATTCTCTTACCTGCAAATTCAAGAAGTTTAAGCTGCTTTGAAGCAGAAAGCTTGTATTTACAGCTACTCTTTTAAAGAAAAGCACAGATTTTGTTTAATTGGACTTATGCTATAAAACACATAATATTGAAAGTGGATAATACCTTTTATACCTTATTTTCTGGGCTACTCATGATTATGATTATTAATATATAGAAACCGAGAGAAAGCTTTGGATTTCCCCAAATCCCTTGTTTTTAAGACAAATGAGTCCTGGGAGTCTAAACCAAGTGGCTTTATGAATCAGGAAAATGTTTATAATTGAGCAAAACATTCAACTAGAAGAGCGACAGAGAGGAATTGAGCTTGTGCTATATCAAGAATGCAGTGCCTGCCATCACGTAATCATCTGTACACCTCACTGTGCGCGTATTGCCTGCATGTAATGCACTACACACCACACACACACACACACACGCACACACACACACACACACACACACACTGTTGGCAGAATTTGGCTCACTGGGCACAGGCGGTTTTACAGTCATAATAACTTCAGAAGTTTTAAACATAGCAGCATTTCATTTTTTAAGGAACTTGTTCATTTACACCTAGAAAATCATAATTTCTATCATCATATACACACGGGAAGCTAAATCTCTACGCTTTCTGAAACCTTTTCCAAAGTGTATAAAGATGGATATGTAATTTAAGAATGAATAAAATAACAAGATTTGAGGAAAAAAATGAGGCCAGGGAAGCATTAGACCTGGCATATTGTAAAGGCTTCATGTGCACATACATACATTTTCTGTTACATTGGACTACATATAATTGCCAATATTTGAATGTTTTCTGATCTACAAAGGTAGAGATTTTATATGATCCAAATGAATAATATATAAGCAATTAGAAAAAATTCTTCCTAGTGTTCAAAATAGACAAATTCTTTTCAAATGGCAAACCACAAGTTACTGTTTTTTAAAAAACTATCCTTTTGAAGATACCATATGTTTTCACTCATAATGTGGATCGAGAAGCAACAGAAGACCCGCGGGGAGGGAAGGAAAAAAAAAAGGCTAGAAGAAGGAGGGAGCCAAAACATAAGAGACTCTAAAACTGACAACAAACTGAGGGTTGATGGGGGGTGGGAGGAGGGAGTGGGTGGGTGATGGGTGTTAGGGAAGGGGGCTTCCTGTTGGGATGAGCACTGGGTGTTATAGGGAAACCAGTAATAAATTTCATAAAAAAAAAAAAAAAAAAAAGAAAACTCTATAAAGATTCTACGATACCGTAGGTCCTGTTATTTTTTCTAATCTTTAGGAGGAGAGCTGCTTGATTCAAATTATGAGTTCATAATCATGATCTAGATCAGGGTTAACAGTCTAAGGGCGTAGTCTGTTTTTTTTATAAATAAGTTTATAGGAACGGAAGTTACTTTCAACATTTATGTACCGTCTATGATGAGATGCTTTTATGCTATACAACAACAGCATTATTGTGACAACTGTGACCAAATGATCTAAGCTTAAATATTTACAATTTGGCCCATAAAAAAAAAAATCTACTTAACCCCTGAGACAGGGGTTCCCACTTGAAACAATTATGCATTTGGTGGGGTGTCTTCCAGGAGTTATTAATGTTGCTTATACCATACAATGCTTCTGATAGTCTGGTGAATCCTGTGGACCCTTTGCATAATAATATTTTATTATTTATTTATTTATTTTATTTGTTATTTATTTTTTGAGTATAATAATATTTTTTAAAACAAAAGATAAATTATGTATGAAATAAGGGGAAAACAATTATATTTACAGTTATCAAAGTATTAAAAATAACTTTATAGTAATGTAATGTTTCCTATATTAATACCTTATGTAAGATCCAGCAGTGAGTCTACTAACAGCCATAATTTCAAAGTGAGTGAAAAGAGTGCAGTTCTGACTAGATAATGACCCCCCAAATACCTGTGACTTTCTTGATAACAAGTCACATACAGCGTTCATCCTGCTATGTTTGATGACTATATTCATAACTTTGGGAAACACATTATATTTTGGTTAGATGCAAAGATGCAATTTTCCCCCATATAAGGTCATTTTATCCACTAACCACTAAGTTGTCTAGGAGCCCCAGATAATATTACCTGCTAACATCTTCCTACATATCAAAGGAAACAAAGAAATTGAGTCCCACTCAAGGGATATTAGAAAAGAAATAAAACATTTCTTGGTGATTTCTCTATGCTGCTTCAAGAAAGCAAGCTTTAATAATATTCAATGTCAACTGTGTACAAAAAAGAATTACATTTATCCTGTTCCAATTACCTTCAGCTTTTCTCTTTTTGCTTCAGTCAGTTGATGTAATTCCACTTTTGAAGGACCTTTTCAGTCCACTCATCAATGACATTTTAAGTTAAAAAGCTTGTCCATAAAGCTAAATTTCATTCAAGATTTTCATAGTAGTCTTCGGTTTTTCATTTATCTGCCATAATTAAAAACAGAAATAACATTAGTGTTAAAAAAAAAAAAAGTAACCATTGTTTTCAGTCTTTACATTATTTTAAAATAAAAATTTGCCTTCTTGTTGAACAATTTGCTTTATTTATCAACCAACAAAAAAAAATGTGCTTTAACACATAACATAGTTCTTTCTTCCTTTTTTTTTTTTTTACCACTAAATGTGTTATTTCTGTTTTTTAATTATGGCAGATAAATGAAAAAACCGAAGACTACTATGAAAATCTTGGTCGAGCTCTAGCTTTATGGGACAAGCTTTTTAACTTAAAAAATGTCATTGATGAGTGGACTGAAAAGGTCCTTCGAAAAGTGGAATTACATCAACTGACTGAAGAAGAAAGAGAAAAGCTGAAGGTAATTGAACAGATAAAATGTATGCTCTTTTTGTACACAGTTGACATTGAATATTGAGCTTGCTTTCTTGAAGCAGCATAGAGAAATCACCAAGAAATGTTTTATTTCTTTCATTATCCCTTGAGTGGGACCGCAATTCTCTTGTTTCCTTTGATATGTAGGAAGATGTTAGCAGGTATTATTAATCTGGGGTTCCCAGACACCCGAGTGGTTAGTGGATAAAATGACCTTATATGGGGAAAATTGCATCTTTACCTTGCATCTAACCAAAATATAATGTGTTTCAGTTATGAATATAGTCAACAAACATAGCAGGATGAACGTTGTATGTGACTTTGTTATCAAGAAAGTCACAGGTATTTGGGGGTCATTATCTAGTTGTAACTGTTACCCTTTTCACTACTTTGAAATTATGGCTGTTAGTAGACTCACTGCTAGATCTTATTATTTAAGGTATTAATATAGAAACATACATATTACTATAGCACAAGTTATTTTTAATACTTTGATAACTGTAAGTCAATATAATTGTTTTCCTTTATATTTCTACATAATTTATCTTTTGTTTTTAAAATATTATTATGCATTCAAAAATAAATAAATAAATAAATAAATAAATAAATAATAAAA